ACGTACTGGTTGAAGTTCGTTCGCTACGCTCACTCACCTTTTGGTTGCAAATTAGCTGTTGTCATAAATAAAACAAATAATACTGCTGCACCCTGTTGGTAAACCTATTAACTTTTAAATGCTATTGAACATCACAGAATCAAATTAATTAGTTGAACCAGCTGTTAAGATTCTTTAATTCCATTTAAATAGACATAGACATACACGGTCAATATTATTGTACAATATATTGCGCAATATTATTGAAGGCGCGACCATACACAGTTCAATAAGTTTGTGCAATATAGTCCAGTCAATCTGTTCCTAAAATAGGCCGATAGACAAAAAAAATACTAACAGGCTGGATTTTTTCCCATCGACTACTACCATGTAGACAAGTCTCCAGCCAAAAGTCCCCACCCCTAGCCCTCTTGCTTTTTTCCCTAGAGCCCTCAAAACTTTTTAAGGGTGGATAAATGCAGTACTTTATAAAATCCCTTATATTTCAGTAACTATTTCAGATAGACCTTACATCTTGTTGTTTTTAGATTCCTAAAATTACGGTCTAAGAACATGATATGTAGGTTTTGTGATTAGTTTACTAGTTTAATAGTTATTTCTATCTTTAATAATAAAAATGCATAATTTTTCTATTTCATTTAGAATATTTGCGCATATTATTTTAAAACAAGGCTCCAGTAATTATCATTAATAAAGAGGTTTCAAGTAAATATTTTCTCCTGTTTATAAGCTTTAAAATGATATATGACTTGTCATATTTCGCTCGTATTGTGCCCTGTGACTTAACATTTGAAGTATAGTGTGCACCGGCTGCCGCGACCTCGCGCCGAGGCTCGTACCGACGCGACGACGACGATACTGCTCGGGACTAGGAACGCCCACGCCTGCGTTCACTTTTGCTCTAGGGCAACTTATTTTTAAATACTACCTCTTTCATCATATTATTTGTATTATTTACAATTTATCAATCCTGGAACAAGACCAAGGATACAAGAAACATTCCAAGAAATAAGTAAACAATAAGGAACAAAAATAAATTATTATTTACCTAGTTTTAACAATTGATATTGGATAACAAAACAACTTGTATAGAAAAAACATGTAATATTCATTTTTAATGAATATAGATCTAAGGTATGCACCAAGGTCAGCTCTAGTGAAGAGCTCTCTCCATCTTGTGACAGAAGGAACATGAAAGCACTGTTTGCACTTATAGTTGCCAATTCCTACGGTCTTGCTTATGCTGTATCTTCCAGGTCCACTTCTATTATTGCACTGTTCGAACATTGTCCCGCACATACTCCTCACATTTCTGTACAATTTAAAGAAGCCTTGAAGCAGCTGCAGTTGTTTCGACAAGATTTCTTGCAATTGCAAGAAATGAGGGTAAAAACGTGTTTTTCTAACATAATTTTGAAAATGTTGAGTTCCGTAGCTCTGCCCTGAGAACTCTTTCATCATTTCTTCCAAGTCTGAAACTAGATGTTGACAGTCATCACTGTCCTCGATATATTCGCAAACATTTAAGAAAGCCTCTTTTAAATCTTCGTTTTCTGGCCTGCCTTTTTTTGTGGTCAACGATGGTTTGGTAAATCTGGCAAAGCAATCTGAGTGGTACCGACTCTCGCATTCTACTAAGTCGGCAGCCCCTATCACTCTCGATTTTACAGTCTCGCCCCAATCATCGGTTCTATCTTCAGCATATTTCAGTAGCGTACTTTGTACACTTTTGTTTTGCACCAAACGAATATATTTTCTATATAGCTCTGGAGTTTTTTGTCAATAACAATTTCTTTGCTACAAAACAAGCATTTATTTTTAAAGTCAAAATTAAGTAAATTTAAATTAAACGATGATGAAGGCTGCACTGTGCTAATAGAAGTAGTTTCTTTACATGCAGACATAGAATTAAATTATCTGATTGAGGAACTGCGAGTATAGGTCTTCCTACATTCTTTGTGTAAATTAATTTGTTGACAATTCTCAAATTGTTTGTGTAAGTCATCTTTCCTTGTTAGGCTGGACTTAATTAGGCTTAACAATCCTTTGGATCTTACATTCACAGTTTCACCTGCTGCCAACTGTCCTTTGCAGATCACGCATCGAGGCGAGTCTTCCTCCGTTTCGTCACATTCCGCTTCCATAATTATACACTAAATACTCACGTCAAAACTCAAGTCATAACTAAATAACATTATTAGGAAATAACAAGCACGCATCTGTTTATTTAAACTTATATTCACTTCGAAAAAAACACCATCTTTATATCACACTCACGCAAGTTGATTACCATCCGGAAACGGTTACAGGGATGCCAACCTTTAAAATATATAAAATATACTACATGTTATAAACTCTTCTTTTATCTCTGGAATCTTCCCCGAAAAAATTAAAAAAATCAAAAATTAAACCTTGTTATAAAAATGGTAACCCAGAAGAAGTGTGTAATTACAGACCTATCTCATTGTTATGCTCATTTTCAAAAAATTTTGAGCGAGTTGTGCATATACAACTTTCAAAATACTTAGAGGAAAATAATTTATTAGATAAGGAACAATATGGTTTTAGAGAAGGAAGGTCTGTGATTGACGCAGGAATCGATTTCTGTGAATCTATAATTAATTCAATTGATTCAAAGGAAAAAGTAGTGGGAATATTCTTAGACTTAACAAAAGCCTTTGATAGTGTCTCGCATGATTTACTTCTTGAAAAACTTAAATGTAACGGTGTAAAAGGGAGAGCTTGGCGTTGGTTTGAATCTTATCTTACAGGCAGGCAGCAGTATGTCACAATTGATCACATAAATAGCCATAACCAATTAATTACTTACACTTCCTCAACGAAAATTGTTAAGTATGGTGTCCCTCAAAGATCAATATTGGGGCCCTTATTATTCTTAATTTACTTAACTGACTTCCCCTCATTGATAGAATCTCCCAATCGTGTTTGTTTATTTGCTGATGACATCAATATAAAAATATCCGGAAATTCAAATACTGATGTGGAAGTCTCTTCTTTTGTTGAGCTTACCAAATGTAACCAATATTTAAATGAAATCAATTTATTACCGAATACAATAAAAACTAATTATATAAATTTTTCTTCAACAAGCAAAAATTCACCTGAGTTTAATATTTTTATGGATACAATTTTACTAAATGAAGTTAAAACAATAAAATTTCTTGGATTGCATATAGATGATAAATTTAACTGGGACAGTCATGTTGAAAACGTTTGTAATAAAGTCAACTCAGGAATACATGCATTAAGACAGATGTCAAAATTTAGTAGTTTAAAAACCTTAAAAATAGTATATCATTCCCTAATTGAATCACATATTTCTTTTGGGTTGTGTCTTTATGGGGGCACATCAAATTTTAACCTAAATAGCATTCTGGAACTTCAAAAAAAAGCAATTCGCATTATGTTAAAACTAAAGTCAAAAACATCCGCAAAAGAGCAGTTTAAAGAAATAGGAATTATGACTGTTTTTAGCTTATACATTTATCAAATAGCCCTTTATATTAAATCAAACCATGAAAGATTGCCAAAATTGAACTCTTTTCATACATATTCACCAACAGACCCTTGTATAAATTAGAAGATTTTTTCCAACTTCCTGAAATTTGATTTTTTTTATAATAACAATTTTCTTTGTAAGTAGTATTAAGTTTAATATTGTGTTTTTATAACTGACTCCATTCTGTACAAGATGTGCAATATGAATAAAGTTATTTTGATAGATTGATTGATTGATACTATACGAAAACGGTTGCAGGGGTGCCAACCCAAATCGGTTACAGGAACACCAACTGTGAAAATCGAAATAAAAGGTTCTAAGTGAAATGGAAAAATAAATAAGTGATAGTAGAAAACATGATTTGCCATTGTTCTATCGTTTACTAAAACAGTAACTGTATTATTTATTTTACTAATAGGGCACACAAAAGGGGAAAACATAAGGATTTATAAAACATAAGGCTTGTTAATATTATTATCACAGTTGTGTACACTGTTTATGTTTATTTACATAAGTTAAATTTGTGTTCACATTTTAAATTTATATTATTTTTGTCTTATAATATAATAAGTTATTATTTACCACACATATACTATGCAGTATTTACTCGGCTTGATGCTTTATATGCAATTACTAATTGATTTAGTTGTATTAGTTTCTTTTTAATTTTCCTAATTAATTAATATGAGAAATAATAATATGTTTGTTTTTAAGTGATATGAAGATCGTTTAAAAAAATAAATCATCTATTATGTGAACGGAGGCATGCCTAGTCCCGAGCCCTTGTCGGTATCGCGTCGCGGCGCGGCGGCGGCGCTAGCGGGCGGGACGGGGCGCGCGTTCAAGGCAGTCGGCGGTGATTACTATACTTCAAATGGGTAATTAAAGGGCATAGTAAGTGCTAGTTATGCCAAGTTATATATCATTTTAAAGCTTATTAAATGAAGAATATGTTGAAATAAAAACTCTTTACTAATGATTATTATTAGAGCTATATCTCTTAAATATTCGGAATAAAATGGAAACATTTTGTTTTTTCTAGCATTAAAGATGGAAATAACTATTAAACCTGTAAACTAATCACAAATCCTACATAACGTGTTCTTAGACCGTAATTTTAGGGATCTAAAAACAACAAGATGTAAGGTCTATCTGAAATAGTTACTGAAATATAAGCGATTTTATAAAGTACTGCATTTATCCACCCTTAAAAAGTTTTGAGGGCTCTAGGGAAAAAAGCAAGAGGGCTAGAGGTGGGGACTTTTGGCTGGAGACTTGTCTACATGGTAGTAGTCGATGGGAAAAAATCCAGCCTGTTAGTATTTTTTTTGTCTAAAAACCCCAGATTGACTGGACTAATATACGGATGAGAAAGACCGTCAATTTGGTTTCAATATTTTAGTTTCAGGCCAGAATAATGTTTTAAGCAGTCATAGTTTAGTGTTATTCGTTGTGATCATGTGTGATATGGATGCTGCAGCGTGTGTGGTAATCGCATTGCTGACGAAGTCGAAGAAGAGGAAGAAGAGGATATGGATGAAGGAGTGGTTGAAAAAAAGGAGGGACTTTACTCATGAAAGACTGCTAAATGAGCTTCGAATAAGTGAACCTAGTGACTTTAAAAACTTTCTTAGATTAGACGCAGAAACGTTTGATGAGTTATTACAGTTGGTTGAGCCTTATATTAAGAAAGCCGATACTAGTATGAGGGATGCTATTTCCGTGAGTCAACGTTTGTCCATAACTTTGCGCTATCTTGCCACAGGAAATTCTTTTGAAGACCTCAAATTCACAAGTGCTATTTCTGCACAAGCGATTGGCAGGATTGTAGTAGAAACCTGTAATGCTATAGTACATTGTTTGCAGAATTATATACAGGTAAGAAAAAAAAAAAAATTTTTAATTAAACAATTTATTACGATAGGTAAATGTAAACAGATAAGTAACTCCAAAATAAGTTAATTTAAAAGTAACTCCTGAAAAAAGTTAACAGAAAATAATTAGAGGGAAAAGTTAACAAAACAATAACTCGTGGAAAAAATTAACAAACAATAACTCCTAAATGCAAATATTCACTCTTTATCATTATCAGTAAATATTTTTTACATTTTACTTTTTATTTTAATTTTGACTTTTCTTTTAGCTTAGCTTTACTCCATTTTGAAAAAGTTTATTTATTTCCTCAATCCAGCTCCTATAAAACATTATTTTCCTATAAAGAAACTTAATAACACCACATAATATAACCTAATACATTTTGGATACTCAATATAACACACTTTGAATAAAAAATGTCTGGGGTATAGAGAACAGTCTTTAGTATTTTCTGGCAATTTTAAAAGCTATGCTGGGGGTTGGAAGTTAGCAAGGTAGGTTGAAGCATCTGGGTAATACTGCCCTGCGGAATGTTGAAGGGTCTGATGCACGGGTTGTGAGTGGTGCATTGTTGGCTGGTCACAATATACTGGACTAGCAACTGAACCATGGAACGGAGTAGATGCTCGGCTATTATGTACATTAATTTGTACAGAATCCCGACTCAAGGTACCCATCTGCCCCTCAAACAAAATGTCATTTATGGCCTTTTTAGCAAACATTTGCTGCTGAGCGTCCATTTTCTTCAGTTCCACTGCCCAAGCAATAGCTATCTTCTCAAAATCGTCTGGAGGTGTCTCCAGCCGTTTACGAGCTTTCGCCAACAACTCATCGTTTGCATTAAACTTTGGCTTTTTGGTAGGCCCAGGTTTTGAGGGTGCAATTTCATGCTGGAAAAGAAGATAATAACTGTACCACTGATAACAATTGAAATAAAATATTATCCTGTAAACATAGGATCCAAATTACATACCAATCCAGATATCCGAAACTTTTTTGTTATAAAATAATTTTAGGTCGTTTTAATGTTTTCAGCCGATTCTTTCAAATTACTATAATACATATGAAATAAACTATACAGGGTTTTTATAGTCCACCAATGATTTTTCTTTATCTAATATAACGGATACAAAATAGCATACAACATATTTAAGGTTCAGAAAACTTATAAACACTAAGGAACTGGAGGTGGTTGAATGTTGAAATTTTGAGTTATATTTTTTTACAGATACCAAAATCGGAAGAGGAATGGACATCAACAGCACAAGAATTCTATAAACGGTGGAACTTCCCAAACTGTCTCGGCGCCGTAGATGGCAAGCACATAGCGATTCGCAAACCACCTGGATCTGGATCACGCTACTACAATTATAAACATTTCTTTAGTGTCGTGCTGTTTGCAGTTGTCAATGCTAATTACGAATTTATTATGGTAGATGTTGGTGTAAACGGACGGGTATCTGACGGAGGAGTCTTGGGAAACACAGAGTTTGGAAAGGCTTTGTCTAATAAAAGGCTAAACTTACCACAACCTGACATTTTGCCAAACAGTCACAATCAATTACCGTATGTTTTTGTTGGAGACGAAGCCTTTGCACTAACCGAAAATTTCATGAAACCATATAGCCAAACCGGCTTGACCCCAGATGAAGCAATATTTAACTATCGATTATCTCGTGCAAGGCGTATAGTTGAAAACGTGTTCGGGATTTTGGCCAGTCGATTTGGAGTTCTTCAAAGACCAATAATGGTAAATATTGCAAATGTAAACACAATTGTTTTGGCGTGCTGTTATTTGCATAACTACCTACGACGAAAATCTGGAATTAGTTACATTTCTAGGGGAAATGTTGATACAGAGATCCTAGAATCAGGCCACATTGTTAACGGGTCCTGGAGGGACGTAGTTCAACCAGTGCCACTACAACCTATTCGAGGCCGGAAAGCAATGAATACTGCAAAGGCTGTACGAGATGCATACTGTGACTACTTTAACAACGAAGGCGAGGTTTCTTGGCAATATAACTTCATATAAAAAACTTAAATACGTAGTGGTTTTGGTTTTACTGCAAAAAGACTTTAAATGCAGGGCATTATAGCGAATAATTCTAAGCTATGAGTTTAATCAATGTAATCAAATTAATTCTTTGTAATTGTACCCTATACTTGCACAATACAATTTACAAGTAAAAATAACTTACAGCAGCTGTGTTTGGTTCGTTTTCTCCTTCCTCTTCGTCTAGCAACATGGTGTTAACTGACTCTGTAGGCTGTTCTAAATCACTCAAGAATTTCATCTCATCGAAATACCACAATGTAGGCTCAACAACTTCATCAGCTCCAGCTCCACTTCGTTCAGAGTTTTTTATTCGTCTCAACTCTTTTCGAAAATTCGTTCGAAGAGAGTTAATTTTCTTCACCAGTGCTTTTCTGTCAGCTTCTGGTTATTTTTCTTGATATTTTTTCAGTAATTCTTCGTACTGTTCATTCTTCTTCGTTCTATTACTGTAGTCCTTGGACCCATGGTCCCACAAAGCCGGTAATGAGCGGTACATTTCTATAACTTCCAGTAGAAACTTCTTTTCCTCTACACTTGTCATTTTTACTATAAACAATTCACAAGACACAATAGTAAACCCACTCTTGACTCCTACCTACAGCAACTGAATTGACAGACCGACAGGATATTGCACAATACTACCCATACACGATTCAATATATTGAAGATTGTGCAATAATTTTCAAAACTTTTTGTATTCACTCAATATATTGCGCAACCTGATTTTTACCTTCAATCTAGCCCATACACGTTCAATAATATTGTGCAATGTAAAATATTGCGCAATAATATTGACCGTGTATGGGCCCCTAAAAGGGTCATTCTTAAGGTCATTTTTAAGGGTCATTCCATGCCAAATCAACCAATTTGACCATTATGTTAAACCTTGACCTCTCAGGTTTGCTTAATTTTTTGTACCATTTCATACTAACCAAAACTAATAAAAATATAAATTTTTAGATTTTTATGACTTTTGGTTTTTGAGTTACGAAGCTTTAAAAATCCAAAAATCGACGTTTTTGAGCCGCGTTTTGAAATCTTTAAAATTGTATAACTCAAAAACTATTCCACTTACAGAGTTCAAATTTGTGGCTTTCTTTTTCATTTGAAATGCCCTGTATTGTGATATGTCACATACCTATGTTTAAAAAATGTCAAAAATTTTGAAAAAAATTCAAAAACTTTTTTAAATTTCCAAAATGCGTCTCCTTGAATTTTTTTCATAATAAAGTATGTGATTTGTACCATATCTGACTACATGTACTGAAAATTTCAGAATGGGATACAAATGGGTTCTTATTGAAAAAAATATTTTGTCACAGTGCGCACCCTCTACACATGACAATGGGGTCATGTTATGTTATAGAGACTGGTATGGTAAATATGCACGGTTGTGTTAGTATCCTAAACAGATGAGATTCTGTACATAGTTGTTTTACATCTATTGTTTTTTTAAAGTTACTTAATTTATAAGGCTAGTTAAAATCTAATCCATCAGAATTTTTTAATAATTGATGGATCACCTCGTTACAAATGAGATCTTTTACCTTCTGGTGTTCGGTTGTTGAAATTGCATCCGTTGTTAGTGTAAACCCAGTTTAAATTAGGATAGTAGTAAATTCATAAGTTGGTATGTTTTATTAGTTTATTTCTGTTTTTATTAGTTTAGTCATTGAACAGTAGAAGTAACTGCCTAAATATTCATTTCAATCTTCTTATATATTTCTCCAAAGCGAGAGAGGTCAGTTTCATTTCTTCAGCACTTAAGGCATATGTTCGTCCTGTTTCTGTCGTTGGATCGACTTTTTGAAGTAGGGCATCTCCAACACATCCCTTGGTTGTGGGTACAAGAAGCTACGTGCTGTCCTTTGGGGTGTAAAAAGTTGATTCTGTATATATCAGGCTGGCTCTAGCTGCTAAGAGCTTAACAGTTCCACCAAGACCATCGCAGGCACTCTTACCATGAGATGTGGCAAAGAACTGCTACTCGGCATCGATTCCAAAATCTTGTCTGTGCAAACACAAATTGCAAAAAAAATTTCTGTTTTTATATTGTGCAGCACTACCATCGGAAAAGTAAGTGATCTTTTTCAAATCAAAAGGTTATGTTTGTTTCAAGATTTCAACTAGTTTATTTTCGAAAACATAAAATGCAGCAGTGTTATGTTCCAAACAATCTGAAATAAAGACATACTGAAGATTTTTTAACTTTCCGTCCCATTTGTAATAAATAATAAATGGGTGAATTGTCGCTTGGTTGGTGGTCCAGTGAAACGATTGAATTTCATCCTGTACTACAAAAGAATAATTTTCAGCAAAATCACAGTTAGCTACAACATGGCCTTCAGTTAGGGTCTCCTTAATTTCATTGTAGTATTCTTTTTGCTGATTTGCTAAAAATGAATAAGTTTTAAGTTTTAACAAAGTTTCCAAAAAATCATCAATAAAATCATCTGTGTGTTTTACAGTTTCCATCAAGCATCTATCAACAGTAACCCACCTCTTGTATGTCACTTGGTCAATCATCTCCTCATTAAATTTAGCAGTCAGTTTGTCTTTAAGTGGTGTTGCACCTGGGCAGTCTTTACAGTTATTCATATAACAGTGCTGAAAAGGTGGGTTGCACATACAGGTGTTAGCCAG